AGAAATCTTAAGAAAGAGGAGTGGCCTGGCCAGGTAACATTCTGTTTCAGCTTCAGACACTTTGCCCTGGAATGTGAGGATGTTCTTCCATGCCCCAGGTAGATGGGTATCCGCCAAAGCAGGAGGTGCTTCAAGGTCCCGTCTTCTTTTTTCCCCTGAAGCTTGATTTTCACTTCCATCTTACACATGTACGGTAGCCACAAACCAGGTCATGTAGGGAGTTCAGGCCGCCTTCCCAAGGCGTTCACTAGCAATTACTCTGTGTCAAAATACCACCCACATAAAAGTTTCCTCATTAGCAGATTAACTTGTTGACCCTTGGAGGAGTACAGAGATCTTGGCGTCAGTGCTAAAGAGGCTCAAGCTAAGTACTGGTTTCAGTGAAATCCCACAAGCTAACAACATGCGTTTGAATTTATATCCACTCTTTTAAAAGTGTTAGTGGGTAGAACAATAAGTACAAACCGTAAGCAGGGACTCACTCAGCTACTCTAAGAATAGGAAAAGCATCTTTTAGGCATGTTTTGCAACAAGGCGGTATGAGAGACAAATCCAGATCTCTAAGGATAAAGGATAAGGCCACTGTTCATTTTTATGAATTACAAACTAATTTCCTTTATTTACCTTGATGACAGAAATGGAAGGGAAAAAAGGGTAAATACAAGCATGACAAACTCAAAGCACCTCATATTTCATTTGGGTTGTCTTTATTTGGTAGATTAACTAGTACTCATAATTCCAGAATCACATCCTGAAAAGTACTTATTAAGTACCTATAATTAAGGGCTGTGCTTTATAATGTACATTTAAAATTTATTAAACAAGAAGAGTCTATGTCATCTCGAAATTATCAATTATCTGATGATAAAACAGTGTAGTGTTAGCATTATACCCAGCTATGGAGGCCTGCCACAGTATGAAGTATTATTGGATTACTATTGACCCATTAGGGAAATAATCTATCCACATTAAATACTAAGTGAGCAAGTGGCAGGTCATTATTCATCTTGACAATAACTGTACATTTATCAGAGATGCCAGAAAGGAAGGTCAATTTTAATTCACGTAAGTTGCCCAATTCATCAAAGAACATCTTATCTTCTAAACAAAATGGAAAAATAACAATACATTGAACCATAAATCATATATTTGAATTACTTAATTGAAGAGGTGAGCATCAATGCTCCCTTGGCAACTCTGTCTTGTAGAAGACACCCAAGTTTAATTCTAAACTAACCAAAGCATTAGTTGAATTTCACCACCATGGAAGATTTTTTTTTTTTTTTTTGAGACAGAGTCTTTCTTTGTTGCCCAGGCTAGAGTGCCATGGCATCAGCCTAGCTCACAGCAACCTCAATCTCCTGGGCTCAAGTGATCCTCCTGCCTCAGCCTCCCGAGTAGCTGAGACTACAGGCATGCGCCACCATGCCCAGCTAATTTTTTTCTCTATATATTAGTTGGCCAATTAATTTCTTTCTATTTATAGTAGAGAAGGGGTCTCACTCTTGCTCAGGCTGGTTTCGAACTCCTGACCTTGAGCAATCCTCCTGCCTGGGCCTCCCAGAGTGCTAGGATTACAGGCGTGAGCCACCACGCCCGGCCTCAACCGTGGAAGATTTATATGGTCTACAGTAAGCAACTTATTTTTATAATAACATTTAAACAAATACCAATTCCCATCATTAACTGCCTGTGACCCAGATATAGCCTATACAATTAACTTATGTTTACCTGTCTGCTTGGTCTCGGCCATGACAATTAGGGTAGTTATGACCAACACACAACATGCAGGTGTGTGATTCAGAGCAACCGGTGTCATCCCCCTCCCTCTCTTCTGTAGAATGAAGAAATTGATCTCCACCTCTGAAGTTCCTTGCAATGATCAAATTCTGTGCCTTCACACTGATGGACTTGTTTGCCCTGGCTGTTGCATGGATGGCTTGTAAATGGAGCTTTAAAAATACACAGGGAAGATTTTTATTCTTCTCTTGGTTCTTGAGGCACATTGCTTTTCTCTTAATGGCTGGAATGATAGAATTGTATGAAGGCCTTAACTTGGTTGGTTCATGATTGCAAGTAATAAAGTTAATCCAGCTGTCACCAAAATCTGAATTATGTTGATTAAGAGAAATAAGGATAAATAAAGATAAGGATGTGTTTTCAGTGGCATTGATAGTTAATTTGTGTTCTCAAGGAGGCAAAGAGGGTTTGGACGAAAGCATTCCAGGCCCAGGAAATAAGAGAGTTGAAACATGAAAGTGGAGAGATTGTTCATTTTTTCACTTTTAAACACATTACACAATGATCATGTACCATAGGAGGGCTTAAATATTTCCTTTTTTGGGGGGGAGGGTCAGAATCTCACTCTGTTGCCTGGGCTAGAGTACCGTGGCACCAGCTTAGCTCACAACCTTAAACTCCTGGGCTGAAGCGATCCTCCTGCCTCAGCCTCCCGGGTAGCTGGGACTACAGGCATACACCACCATGCCCGGCTAATTTTTTCTATCTTTAGTTGTTTGGCTAATTTATTTCTATTTACAGTAGAGATGGGGTCTCACTCTTGCTCAGGCTGGTCTCTAACTCCTGAGCTCAGGCAATCCTCCTGCCTTGGCTTCCCAGAGTGCTAGGATTACAGGCATGAGCCACCATGCCCAGCCATATTTCTTTTTTTATTAAAGACAGGGTCTTGCTCTGTCTCTCTGGCTAGAGTACTGTGGCATCATCTTAGCTCACTGCAACCTCAAACTCCTGGGGTCAAGCGATCCTCCTGACTCAGCCTGCCAAATAGCTGGGACTACAGGCATGGGCCACCACACCCCGCTGATTTTTCTATTTTTTGTGTGTAGAGACAGAGTCCATTGAATGAGCCACCATGTCAGGCCTTAAGGAATTCTTAAATGCCTATAAGATAACACATCAAGTGCACCTCTTTTTCTCCTGAAAGTTTACCACAAGAGAGCAGGGAGATCTGGGACTACTTAATCTCTAAGGCTGTTTTTTTATCTATAAAAGAAAGATAATATTTTACCTGTACCTAGGGGATTAGGAAGATTAAATGGAAAATCTTTTAGCATGATGTCAACCCATAGAAATCACTATAAATTATAATGCTGTGAATATAGTCACTTATTACCTTTAAAATGTAGAAAAAGAATATATACTATTTCCTATTACTATTGACTGCATTAACTTGATAGAATTTTTTTTAGCAAGTCATTGCTTACCTGTACATAAATAGAAAGAGTAATTCTGATTCTTAAGTAATTTAATTCCATGCCCTTGCAAAATTCAGAGGAGAAATAAAATGATTTAAATAAATTAATATATATATATCCAAAATACTTTCTTTCTTTCTTTCTTTCTTTCTTTTTTTTTTTGAGACAAGAGTGTCACTTTGTTGCCCAGGGTAGAGTGAGTGCCGTGGAGTCAGCCTAGTTCACAGCAACCTCAAACTCCTGGGCTCTAGCGATCCTCCTGCCTCAGCCTCTCAAGTAGCTGGGACTACAGGCATGCGCCACCATGCCCGGCTCATTTTTTCTATATATATTAGTTGGCCAATTAATTTCTTTCTATTTATACTAGAGACGGGGTCTCACTCTTGCTCAGGCTGGTATCGAACTCCTCATCTCAAGCAATCCTCCCGCCTCGGCCTCCCAGAGTACTAGGATTACAGGCTGAGCCAAGTACTTTCTTTCTGAAATGTTCAGTAGTTAAAGTTTCCATAAAGTTGTTTCACTTCTCCACTTCTCTTTGAAGTGTAGAAATACTTTGTCCTTCTAAAGGAAGAAATTATAATTTTTTAAATATTTTATTCTGTAGTTATTATTAATGTATTTATCACTGGGAAAGTACAACTTTTTCTTTCTTTTTTTTTTTTTAAATAATATGTCTATAATACCAGTAGAAAGTACAACTTTCTTTCAATGTTCACTAACTGTTCGTTCACTGTTAGTGTTTGGTGAACACCTACTGTGCACAGGTGTGTAATTATTTTTCCCCCATCAGAAAATTTAAGAGGACAAGACCATGTTCATTCAACAAATATTAAGCACCTACTGTGCGCCAGGTGTTGTGTGCCCAAGAGAGGAGTTTGCAAACCTCGGTGGAAGTGATTTATTCAACATTTATTCATAGGTTGATTTCTGGAATTTTTGGTCTATTTGGTGATATTCTCCAAGTAGGTCGCTTTCATTCATCTAGGCAAGAATGTTGCTCGTGTAGATAATAAGATCCCTCGTGAGTCAGCAATACATGTCAGCAGTTGGGGGAAAAATAGGAAGCATTTTCAAACAGTACTCTTTAGGTTAACACGCTCTGCTTTTGGTATTACATCTTGTAACTTCTTTTCAACCCTCTCCCTATTGATCTATGAGTGGCTAATGCTCATTTTAAGGGGAACATTGCTTTCTCAGGAAGCATGCTCACATGTTTAAATTATTTACAAGGCCTCTATTGCTGTCTACTGAAGCTTGCTAATTTTTTTTTGGGTGGGAGGAATGGGTATTATCAGTTTACTTCTATGTAATATTAATACTTGGTAAGCCAGCAGGCTTATAGGGACCTGGAAATTCTACTTTATAGATGTTCTACTTTATATGTTCCTGACTAATAAAGTTTCAACAAACTTGAAAGAATAAAATTAATTCTCTCAGTGAAAAGATCACTTTTCCACCTCAATGCTTATGTTGTTGAAGTTTTTAGTCATAGAGCTCGGAAATGAAATACTCCTACCCTGACGTGGTCCTTAGTAAGTGGGTTAAATGCCGGCTGCCGCGCGTCACGGGGTCACGCGGTCACGGGGTCACGGGGTCACGGCGGGTGGAGGCCGCGCGGTTGCAGGCGCCGCCTCCCTCTCGGGGACGGGGCGCGCTCCCTGGAACAATGTTTTCAGGGCTCACAAAGAGGGAAACCAGTACAGAAGTGATGTTTCTTAGTGAATCAGAACAAATTGCTTACGAATTTTTTATTTCACCAAATTTTGTTTGTTTGTTTGTTTGTAGGAAAAAATCTTTCCTGTTTTCTGCTCTGTATGCTGCCTTTATATTCGGTGGTCGACACCTAATGAACAAACGGGCGAAGTTCGAGCTGAGGAAGCCATTAGTGCTCTGGTCTCTGACACTTGCAGTCTTCAGGTAGGTTTTTTTTGTCTTCATTTTCCTAGTAAACTGCATCCATTTCCCCAGGCTTGCTGAAAGGAGACAATACTTGAACATTTCGTTTTCTAGCTGGTAACGTCTGATTGTCGACTATGTTGAAGACATAGGTGGAGCCGAGCTTAGAGAGAAAGCCCTCGTGCAGCCACGCTTGAGGCTCTAGGCAGGGAATGTTTCTGCTCAGCGTCCCCAGAGCCGCCCCACTGCCTAGAAACGGGCGTCTGTTGATGTCGCCAGCTTGCGTCCAGCAGAACTCGGCACGCCGGCTGCCAGGACAAAGCCAGGGCTGCCCCGTGGCAGCTGACGGCCAGCAGGCAGACAGTCCTCCAGAAGCTTCAGGAGCTTTCCCAGTCTTGACTGTCGGGTGATCTGGGCAATCTCAAGACGAATTAGCACGCAGCTGGTGCCCATGCAGGTGCCAGGATTTACCTAGAGCCCTAACAACGGCACCTGTGCTGTTGTGTTTTTCTTGCCAACCAGCAAGTTTACGAGTCGGCGTTGGGGGTAGGAGAAGCAGATGTAGATACACCAGAAAACACAAAACTATTTTTGTATTTATGAATGATTATTTGTGTGTGTTTTTCATATTATATATTAACTGTTCTACCTCTCAGCTGAAATTGAGGGTTTCAGTTACCCACGATCACCTGCAGCCCAAAAATATTAAATGGAAAATTCCAGAAATGATCAATGTGTAAGTTTTAAATTGCAAGCCATTCTGAGTAGCCTGCTGCAGTCTCCTGCTCCATCCTGCTAGGGGCGGGAATACTGCTTTGTTCAGCAGACCCACGCCGGTTAGTCGGGCAATAGCCTGTCTCCATCTCGCCATGCTCGTGTTCAAGTCACCTTTACTGTACTTAATAATGCCCCAAAGTGCAAGTGTAGTGATGCCGGCAGTTTGGATACATCAAAGAGAGGCCATACGGTGAAAAAGTGAAAGTTCTTAATATAATAAGGAAAGAAGAAAAAAATCACATACTGAGGTTTTTAAGATCTACGGTGAGAATGTATCTTCTATCATTGGAATTGTAAAGAAGAAAATAAATTCATGCTAGTTTTGCTCAAACTGCAGAAGTTACAGCCACAGTGCGGAATAAGTGCTTAGTTAAGATGAAAAAGACATTAAATTTGTGGGTGGAAGCCATGAACAGAAATGTGCTCCCACTGGGAGCAGTCAGGTTTGGACTATCTTCAGCGTCAGGGTCCCTCGGGGGTCTCGGAGCATGTCCCCGTTAGATAAGGGGCTGCCACCGTGTGCTGAGTAACCCCTCGTGCTCTCTCTGGCTCCTGCATCCAGCTCTGTGACAGAATCGGTGTTCATTCGTATTTTGGATCCCATAGAACGTACAAGCGACAGCACCCCAGTGAGTGGTTTGTGCTCGGCTCTGGTGAAAACAGACTCCACACACACCTCCACCAACCTCTTTGAGTGGGAATGACTGAAGGGCCAGGAAGTTTCCAAACTGAGAGTCAAAGTCACCTTTGATCTAAAAAGGTAGATGTGGTTTAAGTAACTACGAACAAGGTGAAATCCAGTGTGTCCGCGGTGACATTAATGTCAGGTTCGCACTAAGAAATTCATTCAAGTATTTTTGCAGAACGAGGGCGGGTGTCGGAGATGGCTGGGCTTGGACATTTTCTGGATTTTGTATCCTGTAGTGGCTCGAGTCCAAAAGCGAGAATAATTACCCATTAAAGCTGCCAAGTTCTGGGGCTGTTCGGATGACTCTGATCTTGTCGTAGGGAAAAAACATGGTGCAAGAATAGTAACTGATTTTTATAAAAATGATTTCTAAAGGAGTAATTTCCTTGGAAGCAATTTATGTGCTTTGACTAATAGAATGCAAAGTAGAGAAGCATCTGATCAAAACCAGGCTGACAGACTTACAGAAAAGAAATGAGAGAGGAAGCCCAGAGGCGCCACGCCTGGAGTGCGGCCAGTGCAGGCCAGGACTGCCCTCGGGCTTCCTGGTGACCCTCAGCTAATCCGCCAAAGCCTTGGGGCCGGGTATGAGTGCGGGTGAGACAGACAGGAAGAGGCCCTCAGTAGGGAATGGGATATTTTTATTGTTCTAAAAACTCGATCTCCCCCAAATTTGTAAACATACCCTGGTTTAGAATAAACAGACTCCCTCTGCTGAGAAAAGAGGAACAGTTTTATAGGGTTTCCTCTAAACCCCCAAACCTGATAACCAGTTTAGGTGGTTTGTGCCAGGTGCTTAACTTCTGCCGCCTTACTCAGCCTCACAGCTGATCTACAAAGAAAATACTATTATAGGTCCCATTTTATGAGATGAGTAAGTTCCTTGAATATTTCCAAGTAATCAAATATTTCAGAACTTTTACAATTTAAGATCAGTTTTCCCATAGGAATAAATGTCAAGTGGGGATGTATTTTAAGAACCTATAAATCTATATCTATGTAATTTTATGTTTTAAAACAATTCTAAACACAGTAAATATTAATAAATACACATTAATGATTAACTTTTTGTTACTCAGAAGTTCTTGGTTCTGACAGTTGTTCTTCAGTTTTGCCCTGAGCACTGCTATTCTATGAACACGTGGATAGCACTGTTATAATTCACCAACAGTGGTCGTTAAAATAGCGTAGCAGTCACCACAAGCACACTTAGGACTTCTGAGGCCCCTAAATAACAGAGTGGTTCAGAAGATAAGGTCAGAAATGGTGGCTATTTCCGTTTCTCACTAACGCCACTGCTCTCATGTGGCAATACCGTAAATGTGCTTTTACAGCAGTTTGGGGACCAACTAGTTGGAAGGTTTATGGTTCCTCTCCTCTCCTTCCTCTCCTCTCCTCTCCTCTCCTCTCCTCTCTCTCTCTCCTCTCCTCTCCTCTCCTCTCCTCTCCTCTCCTCTCCTCTCCTCTCCTCTCCTCTCCTCTCCTCTCTCTCCTCTCCTCTCCTCTCCTCCTCTCCTCTCCTCTCCTTCCTCTCCTTCTCCTCCCTTCTCCTCTCCTCTCTCCTCCCCTCCCTCCCCACCCCTCCTCCCCTCCCCTCCCCTCCCTCCCCTCTTCTCTTCTCTTCTCTTTTCTTTTTTTTTTGAGACAGAGTCTCCCTCTATTGTCCAAGCTAGGGTGCTGTGGTGTCAGCCTGGCTCACAGCAACCTCAAATTCCTGGGCTCAAGCGAGCCTCCTGCTTCAGCCTCCCAAGTAGCTGGGACTACAGGCGCACACCACGATGTCTGGCTAATTTTTCTATTTTTAGTAGAGACAGAGTCTTGCTTTTGCTCAGGCTGGTCTCGAACTCCTGAACTCAAGTGATCCTCCCACCTTGGCCTCCCAGAGTGCTAGTATTACAGCCCTGCGAACGAAATTGTAAGATTCTTGAGTATGGTTTAGATGTAGGGGCTTCATAGCCCTTCAAATTCTGCTTATAAAGTACATCCTTATTAATATTATATATAGTCATATTTCAAAATGTCATGATTCAAATTCATACAAAATGCAGCCGTATCCCTATTTTGCAGATGAAAGAACTGATGCTTAGAGTGATTAAGAAGTTTACTCATGGACACATGACTGGTGACAGGATCAGGATTAGTTGGTCTGACTTAAAACACCTGCCAGTGACACAACTGGGGCGGCCAGAGTAACAGAGCACTAAATCCAGACAGACTTCATGAGTGGCTCCAGTTAGAGAGCTTTGCTATGAGCTTTTTCAGCTGTGCCTCGGATGTCTAGAATGTTTATGTAAAGTTCCCACTTCTAAGTATTTCCCCAAAGCTATTAAATCGGAGCCTCCGGGGGTGGGGCATGGAGATCTGAGTTTTTAACAACCTCCATGTTTTGCTATAATTAAAATTTCCTTATAGTGTTAGGGGCTTCCATGCCCTTAGACACGACCCGCCCACACATACCAGGGGTCAAGGACACCTGCACTAACTGTGTCCCTATTGAAGAACTAAGGGTTTTGGGGAGAAGTTCCGTAGGCAGGAAGGTCCAATGCATGGTGTGCTTCTCTGGACAGGAATCCGACTGTGACTCTGGCCACCTGTGGCATACGTGGTCCCTGCTCATGCCTTTCTTATTACTGTACCTCTGACATTTCTACAGCCATCTTTTCCAGTACCATAGTCTACCAACCTGAGGTAGCTGTGTCAGGGTTCTGGAAGCCTTTCACTTGAGGAAGCTGCTGTCTGGCCTAACGCCATCTTTGCAGAGCCACCAGACACAAAGCAGTCTCACGCCTCTGCTGTGACTTCCCGTGAGGGGGATGTCTCTGATCCTGGCGTGTCCCACCCCCACGTTCCTCAGAACACAGGCACGAGATGTGTTAAATCTCTCGGGTCCATGTCCTGTCAGCCTGCATTGTCACCCTTAGGTGTCCCGTCTTACCTCAAACTCAACTGGTCTGAAATGGAATTTTATAGAAATGTTCTTAGCCAGACCCACCAAGTCCCCACTACAGCTTAACTAATCAATACACAGAGAAGTTAATAATTAAGTCGGTTTTTGTCCACCTCAGTCTCTGGGCGCCATTATCCACCTTACTGCTCAGGCCAATAACCTTGATCTTTCTTCTGCCTTGCTGTGTCCTGTCGCCCCTACTAGTGTCTCAGGAAGTCTGAGCAGCTACACTCTCAAAATATATGTCATATTTGTCAACTCCTTCCATGTCCGCTGTTACCAGTGTGTCACTACCACCCCCACCTCCTTTGGAAATAAGACATAAAATATCCTTCTAAGTGTTCTCTCTGATTGACTTATTTTATAATAATAAAATAAATATGGATAAATATTTATAGTTATGTTATAGTAATTATTATATCTTATTATATTACAATCCATTTTCCACATTTTCCAGCCTGTATTATAATTAAAAATGTAAATCACATCATGTCATTAACTGCTTGAAACTCAGCAGTGCCTATACAGTACATCTAGAATAAAAGGAATCTTATTATCATTAATTATTACTATTAGCATCTCTGTGCCATATAAGATCTTCAAAGGCCC